CCCCAAAACCCCAAAACCCCAAAACCCCAAAACCCCAAAACCCCAAAACCCCAAAAATACATTTACCATGAGTTTAATATTTATTATTGCTGATTCTTGTCAAAATGTGAGATGTAAATCAAAAAGATGCTCCTAGTATTCAGCCAGATTTTGAAGCAAAAGATGATTCCCAACTCGTTGTCAAGGTAATCCCTGAAAAGAAAAAGTTCTAATAAATTGCTATAGGGAGAATTCCAAAGAAGCGATAATAAGGAAAAGTCCACAGATAGTGAAGATAGTAAGCAAAAGCCAAGAAAGCTCAAGGGAGGAAAATTTGAAGTCAATGGCAAATTCTATAATACTGGCCGCTGGACTCAGCAAGAACATTCACTCTTTATGAAGGGAATAGAACTTTATGGAAAGGATTGGAAAAAGGTCCAACAGTTGGTGGGGACTAGGACAAGCGCTCAGTCTAGGTCTCATGCCCAGAAAGTTCTCCCCAAGATTATGGACCAAACCCAAAATAATACAAACTTTGCCGCTCCATTATCACCAAATAAAAAGAACGAAAATGCCCTTGCTTGTACTGAAGCTATGGTAGAAAAAGCTAGTAGCAGCGAAATTCCTGAGAAAGAATCGATTATAAAAAGTTCAGAGAGCACGGAGAAAAGAAAGTTTTCAGAAATAGCTTCCTCTGAGATTAAGCCAGAAAACAAGGCCCAAAAATAGCCAAATTGAGCTAATTGAAAGACCCGTGAAAAGAAGATGCACCATCGATATTTCCTCCGCTCAAGACCCCCGTGACCTGCTGATCGAAGATGATGAAGTGAGTCTAAAACTCTTGAGAAAGCTGACGACTCCTCAAAAACCAATCAAAAAGCACTCATTCTGTTACCCCCTTAACGACTTGGTAGGCTTCAAGCTAGACTTCAACTCAGACATTGACTCTGTTTGAGAGGAAGACCTTGGGCAAGGCGATGAGCTCTTCGGCAGGGATAATGACAATAAGTTCTTTTAACCTTGTCAATAAAAATTAGCGACAATTCAATGTTATAGAGTAATTAGGGGTTTTGGGGTTTTGGGGTTTTGGGGTTTTGGGGTTTTGGGGTTTTGGGG